CCTTGAGCCCACAGGCCATGCCTGCCCCAGGGGGTGCATGCCACAGTGGGGAGCCCCACCCCCTGCCCCACCCCAGCTGGGCAGCTCTTGCCCCTGCCCAGGCCCCACTCCATCCCTCTCTTTGGGGGCCTCAGTATGCTCCCCCCAACTCCTTTGCCCCAACAGACTTACTGGCAGGGAGCTGTTCTTCAGGCTGCATATTGGCTATTGGATCAGTATCAGCACATATGGCTGGTTAGCAATCGGCTGCCGGTATCAGCCAAAAAAAACTATATCGGTGCTCACCTACATATAGTGTTGGCAAATTTGCCTGTTATGAAGGTAGAATTACATTCTTGACTCCAGTTTATTCTTGCCTCTGCTTACTTGCATTTCTTTCCCCACAGTTGTTTGTTGCTGGTTTGATTGTGCTGCTGTTAGATGAACTGCTGCAGAAAGGTTACGGCTTGGGGTCTGGTATTTCCCTATTTATTGCTACCAACATCTGTGAAACCATTGTCTGGAAGGCCTTTAGTCCCACTACCATTAACACTGGCAGAGGTACATGTGCTGTATAAAAGTGTACAAAGTTTTGCTGGGTGCATGCTATAGATTCACTTTCTTAAACAGCAGAGTGGAACTGGTTTAGTGGTGTGTTGATTAGCTTCTACCCCTAGCTGTTCAGCAAAGGTAGAGCATTTTCAAATCCAGAAGTTACATTATTAGCAGTATAATAATTTACCTCTGCTGCTTTAAAATCTAGTGTTTGCTATTAAGATGTTTTCCCCAGATTTCAAACCTAAATTGTGTAACTGATCTTAGCAAAATTAGTTGAATATTCAGAAAAGATGGTGTATTTTGTATTTTCACAGGAGATGCATGTGATACAGTGGCTGCCTGTGTGTGATTTGTAAATCATCACTATATTTAATACTTTTTTAAGGTAATCAGGAAGCATGTTTGTTTGTCTGGAGGAGGAGGATTCCTCCCTTTCTCCCTTATGCCCTCATTAGCCTTGGCCCTAATGTGAACTCAGCTGTATCCAAATAAAATGCTGCCTATATCTGTGCTAGAAGGTCATCAACTACCATAATGGGTAAATTCCAAATCCCAAACTGAATTTTTACTTTGATTTCTGGTATTCCTATTTATTGTGCTTTGCTGCTTCTTTCTCACTATCCTTTTTTTCCTCTTTCCACACTGCTCCTCATATCTCCCCTTTTCCCTCACATAGACGAGGGCGAGTGTATTTTGTCACAGGGTTAAAACTCTAGATTCTGTTATAAGGGACCATGTTCTAAAACCACCTTGATTCTGCAGACGAAAGGGAGCCTTGCACTGTCTGTCTTGTTGTAAAAGGACTGCAATACACTATATATTATTATACCTGTAAATCACTTTTGCAGCTGTAAATTCATCCTAGGCCTTATTAACTTGATATATTAAGCTATATTTTGCCTTAAAAGGAAAAAAAAGGCGTGGATTTTCTTTTTCTGTTTGCTTTACGCAGGAACTGAGTTTGAGGGTGCTGTGATCGCATTATTCCATCTTCTGGCTACCCGAACTGACAAAGTCCGTGCTTTGCGGGAGGCTTTCTACCGACAGAATTTGCCCAATCTCATGAATCTGATTGCTACAGTATTTGTATTTGCAGTAGTCATATATTTTCAGGTAAATGAAATGTGCAATCTACAGCTTGCTACAGAGCAGTTACTTATAGAAGGAAACAGACTCCATGGACTTAGACTGCTTACAGGCATTTAAAAAAAACAAAACAAAACGGTGCTTTACTTTTAAACTGCGCGTTCCCACGCTGAGCCCAGCACGTGCCCAAAAGAGGCATTGCATTAATTGGACCTGGCTCGCCCAGCATCTGTATGGATCAAGCACTTTAGCGGTGCTTTTTTGGTGCTTTTATCGAATAGCTGATTGGATCAACTTTAGAAAAGGTGCCAAAAAGCCCCACTGAAGCACCTGATCTATATAGATGCTGCGGAGCCGTGTCGAAATAATGTGCTGCCTCTTCCAGTAAAGCACCTTTATTTTTGTTAGATTGTTTGTTTTTAACATCTCTAAGCAGTTCTCTACTGAAAGAATGAATTGAAAAAGTTAAAAAATGAACCACCAAGGTGTTTGGCTTATAGTGGGTGGGTAAGAAAAATGTAATTGTTCTTATTCTATGTACTACCATTTCATTAACAGGCATTAACAGTACCACTGTCTAATATATATCCCAGAAATTGTTGTGGCTGAGATGTACCCACATCAGGTATTTATGAGATTATTAGCATTGTTGTTAAATCCCATGTGTATATCAAATATTTTTTTTAGTAAAAATGTGTTCATGTCCTGGAACTGAAGTAGCTTTACTGCAAGCCTTAATGGTTCTGCAGTGGATAAAATATATGTACAACAGTATGGCTTGATTTCATGGGCAATTCTTGTAAGAGTACCTTTAGTCACAGCCGAAGACCCATGTTTTTGTCTGGCATGAGTGATAGATACAATTTTGTTGCTGAAGTCGTAGACTAATGCATAGCTTTACTGGCTTAAAAGTCTCTGAACGTTCAGCTTCTGTTTGAGGAAATGTTGAAAATTGTACATTTCTGACTGGATTTCTGTGAGAGAGCAGTTTCGGAAGATTATTTCCATGTGGACTAAGTACAATCTGTGGTTAGATTGGGATTTTGTGGCTCCTAAACCCGTGTGGCTCTTGGTGTCTTTGTTCAGTCTAAGTCAGGAAAATGCTCTGCTAAAAACAGGTACTCTAGGATGATCTTTTGAGATTGAATGGTTAGGCTTTTGCATTAAACGCTTTTTTTTTCAAACAAAATGAGTGCACTTGAAAGGCACACTTTTAGGTAGTCTGTGTTGGAAGTTCATGTAAAATGCAGAATTTGGGGATAAAATCCTTCTAAAAATCCTTATGCCTTTTTTAAGTCCAGCTGTGTTTTGCAGCAGTAGAGACATCGGGGCCACATCCCTGTTGTACTAATTGCTATGCAAACATGCTCTGACCTACAGCACTGATAATCTAATGCCTCACTGTGTGATTTGTAATGCCAACATTGCAGCACTATGTGGATGCACGAAAACCAGAGCAGGGGTGTAGGTTGTAGCCATGTTGGTGAAAGGACATAGGCAGACAAGGTTCTTTGGGTGAATCTGATATCTTTTATTAGACCAGATCATGCTTTCCACTGTGCTCTAATGTTCCAAGTCAAGGAAACTGCTAGCTGTCTAAATGGTGAAAGCTACCAGAAGGAGATAGTAGCAAGGAAAATGTTCCTTAAAAAAAGTTACCTAATCAAAACTTATTTAGACTAAGGGTGTTAAACTCATCTGGGCTGTGGACCCCCCTTCTCCCCACTCCAAGGATAACTGATCCAGCGGCTGCAGTGTGGATCTGGGCCTGGCCAGAACAGGGGTCATAAGCAGTGAAGTCTGTCCAGAGCAGCAGCCGCACTACACAGTCCTGGCCTCCTGCTGGCCAGACTGCACCACATTGCACCTGCCCCAGCAGCTCCAGGACTGCACTGCGCATGGCTGCTCCAGCCACTCCAGGACCCACGCCACACATGGCAATCAGAGGTGCTGCATGCAGCATGGGTCCTGCACTGCCAGGAACAAGTGCGGTGTGTAGTGCAATCTGAGAGCTGCTGGGAGGGTGCATTGCAGCTGCTGCTCTGGCCGGACTGCACTGCATGCAGTGCCTAGTGGCTTCAGGATTCACGCTGCTGTCTGGAACAGCCACCAGATCAAGTATGCTGGGGTGGGGGCTTATGGACCAGCCCTGTGTCACAGGCGTGTGCTGTGCCCTTTGTGGGTCTAATCAGACCCAGGGGCAGCGCCAGTGGCTGGAAGGCGGGGTTTGGCAGGCCGTATGTTTGACACCCCTGATTTAGATTAATTAAATTCTTAGACACGTGATATATGGTTCTTATGCATGGCCATTGTAGTGACAATACTTGGCTGAATCCAAGGAACATTGTACCAGAAAGCAAACAAGCTAGGCTATTTATTTTGGCCCCTGCCTTTCAGGTTTATCTAGTGAATGCTGTCTCTTGAAGAGTGCTATTCTGATTATTCCTTTTGACTTAGAAAGTATAACGGGTATTTTCTAAATTTGTTTTTCAGGGATTTCGTGTGGACTTGCCTATCAAGTCAGCTCGATACCGTGGACAGTACAGCAGCTATCCCATCAAGCTCTTCTATACCTCCAACATTCCCATCATTCTTCAGTCTGCCTTAGTTTCAAACCTCTATGTTATTTCCCAAATGTTGTCTGTCCGGTTTAGTGGCAACTTCCTAGTAAACTTACTAGGACAGTGGGCAGTAAGTATTCTGTCACCTTATTAGCTTTCATAATGGGTGTTTAACTAGTGGGGAATGTTTTCTTTCAAGTTCATATATATAACATGATGGTGAAGCCTTCATAAATGTGGGTTGGAGGTAACAACCAGTTGGCTCTTCTCTGTTTTCATGTAGGATGTCAGTGGTGGTGGTCCAGCTCGCTCTTATCCTGTTGGTGGCCTCTGCTACTATCTGTCTCCCCCAGAATCCATGGGAGCCATATTTGAGGATCCTGTCCATGTAATCGTATACATCATTTTTATGTTGGGATCCTGTGCTTTCTTCTCTAAGACATGGATTGAAGTATCTGGTTCATCAGCAAAAGATGTAGGTGTTCTGATAATTGCAGTTTAATACTGTGTTTTCAAACTGCCTCCAAATTAGATCTGACTAGTTTTTAACCGATCACAGCTTTTACTTCTAAATGACTGAATATCAGCTGTTTATGAAACACTGCAGGTTTCTAATAGAAATGTTTCTCTAGGTTGCCAAGCAACTGAAAGAACAGCAAATGGTAATGAGAGGCCACAGGGATACATCAATGGTTCACGAGCTTAATAGGTAAGGAAATGCTGGTTCCTTGGAGTGCTGTTTTCTTGTATACCTAATGCTTGGATAGGGCTAGGTCAACCAAACCAGGTGTCTCCTGCAGAGCCACTCAGGCTGACTCCCACTGCAAGATTTGTTATGACCTTTTCTTCTGTATTTGCACTTCTCCCAGTTTTTTCTGTCGCTGTCATGCTAGTTTGAGTTTTATCCAGGCAGACATGATAATGAACTTGCAGGGGTGGGTGTTTATGAAAAGAATCAAAGAGAAGTGCACGGGGCTTCCTCTTTAAACAGGAGACTGGCTGAATTTGAGAGAAGCCTCACACAGTCCTTTAAAGGGCAGACATCTCAGTTCCCCAGGTACTCAAACAATTACTGTCGAGCTCTGACATCACACTGCACCTCGCTCTGCATGGTATGCGGCACTGGAACCTGAGCAGTAAATGGTGTTTTCCCCATGTGGAGATCAGGGGATTTCCCCATGTGGAGATAAGGGGACGGCACTTTCTTAATGGGCTTTTTTCTCAGAAATCATACCCCAAATTAAGAAACTTTCATATTTGCCTGATGGGATGTTTTGCAGAAAATTATTCTTATAGTAAGCTGTTTTCATTCTGAGAAACTGGAAGGATTATTGAGGTCTTTTCATGATTTATGTAATTCTTAATTTTTTAAGGTACTTTTATATTTGGAAGGCTCTAGTAAGTGCAGGATGGATGTTAAGTATTGCTGTTATAAATGCCATTCACTTGGAAAATTGGAACACAGGATTTTTCTCACACTGTCTTATTTGTAGATTATGTGAATGTCTTGCAGTCTGACCCAGGTCTTGGGGTTTTTTGCCCCTATGACATAATCTGTTCCAGTACAGTTCATGAGTGTATTGGTAGAAAAATGAGTTTTGGATGAAAGCAATTAATTGTGAATCCTTTCTGTTCCAGATACATCCCAACAGCCGCTGCATTTGGTGGCCTGTGCATTGGTGCCCTCTCAGTATTAGCAGACTTTCTTGGAGCAATTGGGTCAGGCACTGGCATTCTGCTTGCAGTCACCATTATTTATCAGTATTTTGAAATATTTGTAAAAGAGCAGGCTGAAGTTGGCGGAGTGGGCGCTTTATTTTTCTAAACGTCCCAATATGTAGTGGGCCGTGTGAAAGGGAGTGTTTTGACAACATGCATCATTTAGTCCAATAATGCTGTTTCCCCCCTTGTTTTAAAGTGCTAAATGTCCCGTTATTGTAATGGGCATCGAGCAATGCCTGCGTGCAGCATCAGTACCAGCTGCCTTAAGAGAAAAGTTTACATTATCTCGTTTCAGTATCTCTAGTGTTGCCTGTAACGCTGGAAACCAATGCATCTACCTTGCTGTTCAAACACTACAGTGAGATGGTAAAATGTATCAGTCTGATATTGGTGAACATTTTTTGCACACGGCATTAAGATTTCTTTCCCTGTTTTTAGTAGGAAAAAATGTCCCCCGAGTTCAGATTGCCACGTGCCAGTGTTCATGAGCTTATTAAATAAGTTCTTGAAAGAATTTATATATAATCTATATTTTACATGAATTCCTTTTTGTACTTTTTTAACTTGCATTTCCCCATCCCTGTGCTCAGCTCTCCTTATTTCTTTGTGGTGTCTTCACCTGGGCACCTTTTTCCTCACCATGAAGGTGGACAAATATTTTACCAGAGACTGATACTCATCTCACCTGTGAACCGGTTCTGCGGAGGAGTGCTGTACGTGCAAGGTCCAGAGTACTTCGGTTCCTGGCTTGAGCTTCCCACGTGGCAGCACAGTAGGTGCTGTCATGTCACCAGGTTGGCCCAAACGTTTTATTTTTAACCTGTACTTGTGCAGACTGTGCCACTGAAACGTCATGTCCACTTTGCTTTTGTGATTCTGAAAAATGAAGCCTGGTTCCTAAAGCAGTGTTCATAGTGGGGAAATGAGCAGTTCCTGCTGCAGACTTATTTATGTTGTTGCCTTTGGCAGCGGCAGTGTAACGAGTGTAAGCATTGGACAATAAACTTATTTAATTAAACTCGTTCCGTGTCTTCTCTGTGCAAGGTGATTTATTTATCTTTTTAAAAACAGCATCTCCCCCAAATGACCTGATAGCGGCTAAATAGAAGCATAGAACTGGAAGGGACCTGTACAGTCATCAAATCCAGTCCCTTGCGGTGGGCAGGAGATCCCCTGCCACGGGCAGGAAAATGAACAAATGTTTTTGTTCGTCTAAAACTTATGCACCACCAGAAAAGTTGTGAATTCAGAATTAGGAGCATAGGACGGGATGGGAAGTTGGGTTCAGTTTAGCTTCCTTGTTATGGGTAACCATGTTGTATATCTACTTCATAAAGTGATCAGGGGCTCTGGAGAAAGCAATCAGCATATTTACCTGAATCCAAGATAATTCTGAATTTTAGATGACCCCCCATAATTAGATTCTGTATATGGAAAAATTTAAATTTTGTCATAATTTCTCAGGTACAGAATGTAATTATTGGAAAATTGTCTGAAATTGTGTCCCCTTCCTCAAAGCAGTGGCAGGGAGCAGGTAGCCTCCTTGTCCTCTTCCCCACCCCTTTCTTCCCCTTGCAGCCTGCCTGCCCCAGCTGGCACCTCCAGTCTGCAGCCTCTGCTCCCTTCCCACCCCACTTGCTGCCCTGTTGTGCTCCAGCTCCATTCCCTCTCAGCCACACGGCAGCATCCTGTGGCCAGAGTTGTGCTGCTGCTGATTGGCTGGGCGGGGCCTCCACGTGCTCTGTGCCCTGGGAGAGAAAAGAGCTGGCGCTGGGGGGAAGAAGGGGAAGAGAGAAGAGGCTGCTGAGGTGGGAGGAGGGGAGGGTTGGTGGGGCATGGCAGCAGATGCTGTGGGTCGGATTGGTCCTTACCTGGGCTTGAGGCCAGAATCAAAGCTGCATCCTGCACCCGTTCCCCCTCTCCCCCCCGCCCCCTTGCTGAGTGGGGGTGGAAAACTTAAATCTTGAATTCAACTAAATACTGTAGATGTGTGGATCTTCAATCATTACCCTACTGGCAGGCTGTTCTAGTTCCTCAACTAGGTAGAAATCTTCTCATTTCCAGTCCAACCTTATTCATGGCCAGATTATGTCCATTTGTTCTTGTGGCGGCTTTGTCATTTGGCTTAAACCATTCTT